CACACACACACACACACACACACACACACACACACACACACACACACATATATGTTCTTTACATTCCAATCCCAGTTCCCTCTCCCTCCTTCCCCCATCCCACTTCCCATCAGCTCCTCAGAGAGGATAAGGCCTCCCCTAGGATGTCAACTACGTCTGTCCCCTCACCTCGTTGAGGCAGGACCAAGGCGCACCCTCCCCCCAATGTCTAGGCAGAGCAAGGTAACCCTCCATAGAGAATGGGTTCCACAAAGTCAGTTTATGCATTATAGTTAGATCTCGGTACCACTGCCAGTGGCCTCATATATTGGCCCAGCCGCACCATTGTCACCTGTATTCAGGAGTCCTAGTTCAGTCCTATGCTGGTTCCCCAGTTGACAGTGCAGAGTCAGTGATCTCTCACTAGTTGTGGTCAGCTGATTCTGTGGGGTTTCCCCTCGTCGTCTTGATCTGCTTCCATCTGTTTCTGGAAGAGGGATCTAGCTTTTCTGGGGTTGTGGATTGTAGGCTGGTTATACTTTTATGTCTGGTATTCACTTATGAGTGAGTATATACTATATTTGTCTGGGTTTAGGTTACTTAGGATGGTTTTTTCTAGTTCTGTCCAATTATCTGCAAGTTTAGAGATCATTGTTTCTTACTGCTGAGTAAGAAACTCCATTGTGTAAATGTACCCCATTTTCTTTATTCATTCTTCAGCTGAGTGGCATCTAGGCTGTTTCCAAGTTTGGCTATTAGAAATAATGCTGCTATGAGCATAGTTGAGCAAATGTCCTTGTGGTGTGAATGTGCCTCCTTTGGGTATATGCCCAAAAGTGGTATTGCATGGTCTTGGGATAGATTGATTCCTAATTTTCTGAGAAATCACCAATCACCATGCTGACTTCCACAGCGGCTGTACAAGTTTGCACTCCTGAGTGCTAGCTTTTATAAGAGAATATTATTGCAGAGTTTTGTTGGTGGTGGTTTTGTTTTTTGTTTTTTTGTTTTTTGTTTTTTGTTTTTTTTTCTTTTAGACAGGGTTTCTCTGTGTAGCTTTGGTGCCTATCCTGGCACTTGCTCTGGAGACCAGGCTGGCTTCGAACTCACAGAGATCCACCCGCCTCTGCCTCCCGAGTGCTGGGATTAAAGGCGTGCGCCACCAACGCCCGGCCTATTGCAGAGTATTTGTTTAACTGTGTAAAGATGTGTTGCATTTGTTTATGTAGTGCCATATTTGTTTATATAAAGATATGTTGCTGTTTTTCCTTGCCTGCCTAAGGCACCTGATTGGTCTAATAAAAAGCTGAATGTCCAAATAGCAAGGGAGCAGGTATAGGTGGAACTTCCCAGCAGTGAGAATAACTAGAAGGGGAATTTAGGCTCCAAAGAAGAAAGAAAAAGAGACTACAGGGAGACACCAGGGGCCAGACAGACAGACATGGAGGAAGCAGGAAAATAGGACATACAGAACAAAAGAAAGGTAAAAAGCCCCAAGGCAAAACATAGATGAAAAGAAACAGGTTAAATTAGGTTAAAAGAGCTAGTGGGACAAGCCTAAGTCAAGGCCAGGCATTCATAATTATTAGTAAGTCTCTGTGTCTTTATTTGGGAACTGGCTGGCAGTCCAAAGAAAATGCCAACTACAGATTGTCTCATTTTTCACATGGTGTGTGTGTGTGTGTGTGTGTGTGTGTGTGTGTGTGTGTACAGTTTGTAGGCTGTAGGAACTGGTTCTCACATTCTACCACATGGGATCCAAAAATTAAGTTCAGGTAACTGGCCTTGCAGCAGAGACATCTCCCTGGGCATCCTAAATGTTTATTCATGTATGATAAAAAGATCTTTGAATTAAAACTGGTAGACAGAGAAAACAAAACCCACAAAATGTAACTGAAAATAATAGTGTCCCTCATTCAATAATTGAACAATACAAGTAGAAAGAAAATGAACAACAGTATAGTGAATTTTATGTCCTATGTGTGCATGTCATCCATAGGCCAGAGGTAGACAGCTGGTGTCTCTCATGGAACCTTGAGCTCATCAATTGAGCTAGACTGGCTAACCAGTAAGCTTCATGGATTGCCTGGTTCTATGCCACACACTCCCTCCCCACCCCACCCCCACACTGGATTACAAATGTGTGCCACCATACCAGCTTTTGACCTGGGTTCTAGAGATCCAAACTCATGGCCACACCGCAGTCTTAACTGAGGAGTTCTGACAAACCCCCCTCTTTGTCAGTTTAATCTTGCTGGCATCTGTGAAACACCCTAACAAGATAAACAGGCTTTTACTTAGTAGACATTAAGATATTTGCTAATATTGGACATATCAGAACACATGAAACAAGTCAGAATAATACAATACATGACCTGTACTCTATATTAGCTTATGCTGCCATAGCAAAATAATTGTATAGCCTTGGTGGCTTAGACAACAGAAATTTATTTTCTCAAGAGTTCTGGAGGCTAGAACTCCAAAATCAGATGTATGGTTGAACTGTTGCCAGACTGACTGACCCAGTTAAACATGAGCACCTCAGTGTGTGAGGTTCCCAGCATTGTCCTTCCCAACACTTGGCTCTTACCTGACTAATTCTTGCCATTCTCCACACACACACACACACACACACATACACACATACACACCAGTTACATGATTTGCAGGTGTTTTCTTCTGTTTTGGTGTAAGTGACCTTTATTTATTTATTTTTAAGAATGTTGTTAGAAGCACAGATTTTTTCGCCTTAGAAAGCCTTCAGCCTACCCTCTCTAAAAGCTGTTGCTTGGGTATAAATAACACAAAATGTGCTTGTTCTTTACCCAGCACTTCTCTTTCCAGATTTTTATCTCAAGAAAATAATTAAAGCCAGGCAGTGGTGGTGCATGCCTTTAATCCCAGCGCTCAGGAGGCAGAGGCAGAGGCAGAGTGATCTCTTGAGTTCAAGGCCAGCTTGGTCCACAGAGCAAGTTCCAAGACAGCCAGGGCTACACAGAGAAGCCCTGTCTCTAAAAACAAAGTAATGAAGGATGAGTGTTGAGAGAGACTGGAAGATGGAGCTGCACTGGTGTGCCTCTTTCAGTGGTCAGGAGAACTCCTGAACTGACAATGTAACTGCTCATAGTTCAGAAGAGATCATCATTTCCCCTGGTAACTTAGCATTGTAGAACACTGTCTCCTGACTGGCCTTGCTGATTTCTTTCTTAAGCAAAACTGAAACTTACCTTTTCAATTTTTCCCACAGGTCTCTTAATATGGACTTTGAAAACCAAGATAAGGAGAAAGACAGTAACAGCTCTTCTGGGTCTTTCAATGGCAACAGCACCAATAACAGTAAGGCCTGTCATGTCAGTCACCCCCACCCCATCCACATATGCTCACCTCAGAGGACCTCTCTGCCCCTCCAGTTAATTGTTTGATAGAACTTTAAGAACTATCATCTGCTACATTTTATGCTGTAAATCTGAGCCCACTGAGTGCTTGAGCCTAATGCTCACTACTGAGAGCTTTCCTTAAGATAAGGCTAAAGGACACCCATCTTGAGCATTCACCTGCCTGTGACTTTGGTATCTGTTTTGTGAGGTTGGTAACTTTGTACTGAGGACAGTTTGATTCAGTGACTCTAAGGGAGGGCATCCCTAGTACTGGGAAGAAAACTAAGCATTAGGAGTGTCTCCTGATTTCGAAGATTTTTTTTTTTTAAATAGAGGTGAGTTTGTAAACAAATTATTGTGTATCCATACAGTAGAATATTATTTCCATGTTTCATTATGAAATACTGGAGGGGGGCTGCAGGGAGATGGCCTGAGTTCAGATCCCCAGCACCCGTGTAATAATCCAGGCATAGTGGCATGTACCTATAACTATAACCCCGGGGGGGGGGGGGGCAGGATGAAAGTACCTCCTGGGTTTGCTGGCTAGGGAGCCTGGCCTAATCTGTCAGCTCTAACAAGAATGAGACAAAAAATAAGTACACATGTGTACATGCACTTCACATACATGTATACTGCACATATATACCATATTCATAAAAATGGACTTGTGGTACATGCACCAATACAGATGAAGCTTGTGTGTGCTAAGTAAAGGAAGCCAGGCACAGTTACTTCCTGTGTGAGTCCCTTTATATGAAATCCCCCAAACAACAAATGTATTTGGACAAAAAGTAAATTAATGGTTTCCTTGGGCTGGAGAGAAGAAGAGTAACTGTAAAAGGTGAGATCTTACTGGGTGATTTAAAAAAAAAAAAAGAAAACACAAAAACTAGAGTATAGTGATTTCAGAGATCATACATTTGCCAAAAAGTGGATTCTAAAATGGGTTAGTTTTTAAGTGTGTGAATTCTCCCTGAGTAGAGTTAGATAAAATACAATGCTTGTTACGGAAAGAGATGAGTAAGAAGAGATAGGGTCTCTCGGTTGACCCGAGCAGTAGATTCCCACCACCACCAGAACCAAAGAAGGCTTTCAGATAGTAACATCTATACCAAGTACTTTCCATTTACTCATGTTTTGTTACACCAGCAACCAGAGCTGTTCCCTCCAGGTTGTTTAGGTGTGAGGCTGTGGCCCACACTCAGCACCTCAGAAAGAGACCAAGTCATTTGACCACCCAGGAAGAGAGTGAAGAAAGCCAGCTACAGTGGTGGTCACTAAGGTCTTTTCTCTGGAGAATGGCAGGTCTGACACTGCAGGACAGCATTCCAGGAAAAGGGACTGTGTGACTTGTGACAGGAGGAGAAAGTGAGCATGACACAAAGGACAGGTTACCACCTGCTAATGAGGTCTGTGTCTTAGAAAGTTAGTAGAATGTTGATGGAGGACCATGGATGGTAAGTTGAAAAGAGACCACTTGCCGGGCGTTGGTAGCGCACGCCTTTAATCCCAGCACTCGGGAGGCAGAGGCAGGCGGATCGCTGTGAGTTCCAGGCCAGCCTGGTCTCCAGAGCAAGTGCCAGGATAGGCACCAAAGCTACACAGAGAAACCCTGTCTTGAAAAACCAAAAAAAAAAAAAGAAAGAAAGAAAGAAAAGAGACAGCATCTTCATAACCAAATTGTACTTGCCCAGTTTTTTACCTCAAAATGAGAAGTGAACATGACAAAGACAACAAAATAGAATCACTTAAATAGAATGAATTTTATCTGGGCAGTGGTGGCGCACGCCTTTAATCCCAGCACTGAGGAGGCAGGGGCAGGTAGATCTATAGGTTTGAAGCCAGCCTGGTCTACGAGAGCCAGTTCCGAGACAGCCAGAGAGCTACACAAACGAAACAAAAAACAGAATGAGTCTCGAGCAGCCTGGCCTTTGAGACACAGAAGCAGGTAGATCTCTGTGAGTTTGAGACCAGCCTGGTCTACATACTGAGTTTCAGGCCAACCAGGGATACATAGACTCTGTGTTTAAAAAAAAAAAGTCTTTTCACAAGGGGATAAAATCTTGGTCTACAGCTGGATCAGGGAGGCAAGTTTAACTAAGCTCAGTAGGAGTTGGTAGAGAGCAGTCCTTACTCCCTAAACATCCCCAGGAGAAGACTGCCTCCTCATGCACTCCCAAAGAAGCCTTTGCCATTCCTCTGGGCCTCAGCAGGGAGTTGCCAGTTTCCCATAGGTTGGAATCATTGGGGTCCTTGGCATGGCCAGTTCATGTCAGCACATCCATTGGGGCTTTCTCCGCTCCCTGCACTGGACATCTGGAAGTCTTGAACTGTGAAAATTGGTGGATATACACTTGGAATTCTCTTGTTAGTAGAGTACACATCTTTAATCTCCCCATTTTGACTGTGAAGCCCGTAAAAACTAGACATTTCTCCTAATCTGCCCTGTTGCCTAGTCTTTGATAGTTATTGATGAATAATTAATCAAAAGAAAGTCAGCAGTGTAACAACTATCAGTTCACACTGGTGTTCTCACTGTTTGCTCCATAACCATGTGTGTATTTTGCCTGTGGTTATGCTCCCTGACAGGAAGACAACGCAGGAAGGTGAGGAATTCAAGGTCATTCTCATGAGTTGGAGGTTCCAAAAAAAATAAAAATGATGTTATTGTTTATAACTTTTAATTCCATAACCATGCCTTTCTATTAGGTTGACTTTAGGTCTAAAGATAATGCAATTGGGCCTGTGTAACTTTGTGATTATGGTTGCTATGTTAAATGTCTTGCTCTGTATTATTTTGCAAACTATTGGAATTTGGCAAAAATGTCTAATTGGCTAGCTCCTCCCTATAGAACCATTCCCTCTGGCAGCACTAAAAGAACTTACTTGCCCAGTGACATCTTCTCTTGGTTTAGAATCCCTGGTTTCAAAGAGAAATTCAGTGCACTCTAACACTCTCAGATAGCTTGCTCATGTAACCGCCCTTCTAACAGTTGTCTGAACTTTTGTGTTCATATTTTAATTCAGGAGACAGACTTTTGTGTAGGTCAGGATGACCTCAAGGTCACTATATAGCCAAGTATGATCTTGATCTGATATACTTGCCTTAGCTCACTGGTATCATCAACTGGCACCACACTCACAGATGAAATGATTGCATTTGTCTGTAGACTACATCATGCTTTGTTTTACAGGAGAGGAGAGAGTGTGAACATGGTTTAGGTTTGTGGTTTAAAGGGGGGTTTGTTTGTTACCTAATAGCAAAGTCATTTATGTTGAAGACAGTTGTTTCTGTACTTTTCTTTAGTTCTTTGACATCCAGAAGAGGTCCTTCATTTAAAGGAGAAGGTGTCACAGAGCTTTGACCTGTAGGTGCACACACTCAGGATCCATGTGGCATGTGGTTGACTGTAGCTCAGAGCAGACCACTTCCTGAGTCATACCTGTTTGTCACTACAACTTGATCACTATTTCAAATGAAATTATCCCACTGCTAAGTGGGTGACTTGACCATCACCTAACCACTAAGAAGCAGTTTTGTTTTGAGGAAATATTTCATGGTTTATTTCCCATAAAATTCTTGGAATAGTCAAATTTAAATTCTTAAAGCCAAGTTTTTTGTTTCTCATCTTTTAAGACAAGCTGTCCTTGATCCCACATTCCTTGGGCCTCAGGATTATAGGTTTTTCCACTGCCTGTTTCTGTTTGTTTGTTTGTTTGTTTGTTCTTCTAGAAATATGCTGCTTGCTTTTTCCTCAGTGTGGGAGTGGGGGCAGTATCACACAGGTCCTGGTGATGGAATTCAGGACATCAGGCTTGGCATGGGTGTCTTTGCTCAACAATGCACTCTCTCAACAGCCAGGTGTGTGTGTGTGTGTGTGTGTGTGTGTGTGTGTGTGTGTGTGTGTGTGTGTGTTTAAGATTTGTTTATTTTAAAAACTGTGCATGTGTGTGGGTTTGAGCACACGAGTGCGGGTAGTCATAGAGGCCAGAAGAGGGCATCAAACACACCCCCACCCCTGGGAGCTGTAGATAGAGGCGGTTGTGAGCTACATGGTGTGGGCACTGGAAGTGAACTTGCCCTATTGCAAGAGCAAGTGTTCTTAATGCTGAGAGACCTCCCAGCCCTAGCAGTGGTGTTTAGTGTTAACTTGTCATTTCCAGCCCTTTGTGCCTACATGTGTATTTTACTTGTAGCCTTAACACAGTTTGTAGCCTTAACAAGTTTTAACTTTAAATAATCCATTATGATAGATTGTGTGACAGTGTTTCAGATGACATCTCAGTGGAATTAATGAAGTAGATGGCATACAAAACGCATGGGGCGGGGGAGGGTTGCCCTTTCATTCAGTGACCATCAGATTCTGCCAATCCCTCATCTGTCATAGTTCCCAACTCCAGGTACAAAATACTTTTTTGTGTAGATTTTTAGCTAGAGCTAACCCCTAGGGACTTCATTGTAATTATGTAAGCAGCATAATGTTTAAACATCTCTTGAGACCCAGCAGCGGGGCTCAACAGGTAAAGACACTTGCTGCCAAGCCTGATGAACTGAGTTCAAGCCATGGCACACTGAGACATAAACACAAAATAAATAAGTAAATAATTGTGATTCTAAGTAATGAAAATGTCTTTAGGTGATTTCAATGGACAACCAAGAATTAAGAACACTGAATTGGGCTGGAGAGATGGCTCAAAGGTTAAGAGCTGCTCTTCCAGAAGTCCTGAGTTCAATTCCCAGCAACCACATGGTGGCTGACAACCATCTGTAAAGAGATCTGGTGCCCTCTTCTGGCTGGCAGCCATACATTCAGAAAGCTGTATAATACATAATAAGTAAGTCTTTAAAAAAAACACAAAACAAAAAAACAGGGGCCTGGAGCAATGGCTCTGCAGTTAAGAGCACTAGCTGCTCTTCCAAAGGACCTGGGTTCAATTCCCAGCAACCACATGGCGGCTCACAGCCGTCCATAACTCTTGTTCTAGGTGACACCCTCACACAGACAAATGGGCACATAAAATACAAGTAAATAATTGAAAAAAAAAGAAAGAGAGAGAACCACTGCGCTACATCCTGCTCTAGCTCAGGACTTTCTCTCTTAAATTTCCTATTGTGGTGCATTAAAATTCATGCAAAATAGCTTTTCTGATTGCCTGTTTGAAGTTGTCTTCCTTCCACCTCCCCCCTACCAGAATGTCAGTGAACCCACTGACAGAAAAGTGTTGTTTATTATTTTTCATTATATGTATATAAGTGTTTCTGTATATGGGTGTGCGCATTTGAATGCACACAAAGGCCAGAAGGAATGCACTGGATTCCCCTGAGCTGGAGTTACGTATGGGGGGCTCTGGGAATCAAACCTGTGTCCTCTGGAAGACATGCTCTTTAACCAGTGAGCCTTCTCTAGCCACAAGAATTTTTCTTTGGGATTTTGTTTTTATATTATGTGTATAATGTGTTTGCCTACGTATGTATTTGTGTGCACAAGGAAGCCAAAAGATGTCAGATGGAACTGGGGTTACAGATGGTTGTGAGCTGCTCTGTGGGTTCTGAGAACTGAACTTGGGTCCTCTGCAAAAGCACCAAGTATTCTAAACTATTGAACCATCTTTCCAGCCCTAAATTATTGTTTTAATGCCTGTGTATAACCATGTGTATATGTGTATATGAAGCTGGAGGACAACCTCAGATGTCACCTTCAACAAAGCTGTCCACACCTCCTTTAGGACAGAGTCTCCCATTGACCTGGAGCTCAACCGTTAGGCTCTACTGACTGGTCGTCTACCCCAGAGACCCATCTGCTCTTCCCTAGTGCCAGCCTCATAAATACACTGCCATGCCCAGCAGATTTTGCATAGGGTTTTGGGATTAAAGTTGGGTATTTGGGCTTCCAAAACCAATGTTTTACCAACTGAGCCATCCCCCAGCTCCAGGAAATTATTCTTGTGTTTTGTTTTGTTTTTTTCTCCCTTTGAGACAGGGTCTCACTATGAAGCCCTTGCTACCTGGAATTCACTCTGTAGACCAGGCTAGCCTGAAGCTCACAGATCTGTCTGACTCAAATGAAGTGTTTTTGCTCACTGTACAGTGAAAGCACCAAGGACAGCAAGAGGCTCACAATGTCATTGAGAGAAAATCATTGGGACAGGAATGCCTAGAACCATCTGCATTTCATGGGTTACTGTGTAAAGTGTATGGACATGGCCTGGCCTGGCTGAGTGGGAAGCTAAGGTTCTTGAAGGACAAGGATGGCAGCTATAGGATATGGAGTTTGGATAAAAATTGAAGTCAGGTCTTGAAACTGATGGCCAGTTCCAGTTGCCTGGTGTTAAATATTTCAAAGGGCTGGAAAGGTGGCTCAGCAGTTGAGAGCACCGACTGTTCTTCCAGGGGACCTGGGTTTGAGTCTCAGCTCATCCCAGCTCCCATGTGGTGGCTCACAACTGTCTGGAACTCTTATTGTGCCCTCTTCGTTTCAGTATTTGTTTATACCCTCTTGGGTAGAATGAATTCTGGCCACATACTGAGGTGTTTCTTTGATGCTCTGTTACTTTCCAGTTAAGGTCTTAAAAATCCTTAAGCTGGAAAAACTACATAAATGGATTCTGAAATATCTGAGCTCTTCTTTTAAGCCTGAAGAGGTAATGTAAGTTCATTGTTTAGACTCAGGGGTACAGTAAATTATGAGGGGGGTACGTGGCCATCTTGCCTGTTAAGAAATAAGTGGTGAGTGTGTCCTGTTTTCTCTTGGTCAGGTATCCAAACAATTGACTCCACCCAGGCTCTGTTCCTGCCCATTGGAGCGTCCGTCTCTCTCCTTGTAATGTTCTTCTTCTTTGACTCAGTTCAAGTTGTTTTCACAATATGTACAGCAGGTAAGTTACTCCACGTATACTGAAAGGGGAAAATTATAGTTTTAATCGTTGTTCAGATATTATTATGTGTCTGCCATGCCTTCTAAGTTGTATCTTCATCAGTCTGAGAGAAAGGCGGGAATTGGAAAACTCAATTACTTCAGTGATACCACATGTTTATAACCCAAAGGTCTCGGTAGGTGTAGGCCATAGCATCCTCCAGTAACCTGTCTGCCAATAGAAGTATTGACAGCTAATAGAGGAATTGCCAGCTTTCCCATGTGTTTTCTTTCTTTTTTTTTAATATTTTATTTATTTATTTATTTATTATGTATACAACATTCTGCTTCCATGTATATCTGCACACCAGAAGAGGGCACCAGATCTCATGGAGATGGAGTGTGAGCCACCATGTGGTTGCTGGGAATTGAACTCATGACCTCTGGAAGAACAGTCGGTGCTCTTAACCTCTGAGCCATCTCTCCAGCCCCCCCATGTATTTTCAAACTGTGCAATGATGGAAGTACAGGAAGAAGAATTAGTGAGTTAGATACTTAGTGAGAATTAGAATTAGTGAGTTAGATAGGCGTCCATCTCTGCCTGCTGCTTGTTCTTTCCTACTGGGTTAAGACAGTAAGAAAGTCTTTAGAGCCAGGCGTTGGTGGCACACACCTTTAATTCCAGCACTTGGGAGGCAGAGGCAGGTGGGTCTCTGTGAGTTTGAGGCCATCCTGATCCTGGTCTACAAAGCTGAGAAACCCTGTTTCGAAAAACAAAAAGTCTTTAGGTAGTAACTTTCCCACTAGTCAAGAAAGGTTGTGTTGGAAAACTGTTTTACCTGAGTTATGCCATTTTTCTTATGATAAGGAAAGAAAAAGTTTTTAATAAAACGTATTTCCTCTCCCTAGTTCTCGCAACAATAGCTTTTGCTTTTCTTCTTCTCCCGATGTGCCAGTATTTAACAAGACCCTGTTCACCTCAGAACAAGTAAGTTCTAAGGACTTTCCTCTAGGTTATAAGAGTGACTGATGGGGATTGGCTGGGATACACAGATGGACGGCCAGAGATTGGGGTTAAGATGTTTGGCCACACTTGTTAAAACTGGAAGATAATGGCAGAGGAAACACAGACAAATCTTCAGAAGTAGGGATCTGTGTGATCTGCTTCCTGCTTAACTAGATTAGGAAGGACGAGCAGTCTGTGGAAAGTAGTGAATTGGGAACTCCTTATTGTTCTTCTCTGGTGACTGCCTATGCTGCTGCCTTGTTGAGTGTGTCGTCTGCACCTCCACCCCCCAGGAGCCATTGCTCCATGGGAACCATGGGATATGCTGGGGGAGATGGTGTCAGAACTAACCAGTGTGGCAGCTGATTTTCTAGAAATTAGTGATGACATCTTACAAATACTACTTTATCATTGCTAAATGAGTGGAATCTGTTCCTTCTCTCCATTTTATTTTCTCTTAAGAATAGGGTTTCCCTATGTTCAGCCTTCCCAGAGACCAATGTTAAATTAAACATTTAGAAACCCATGTTGATAATTTAGTATAAAAAACACACTTTCAGACCAGTGCATTGGTTCAGTAAGTAAAAGTGCTTGTTGAGCTAGCCTGGTGGCTTGTGCTTGATCCTTATAACCTGCAGTGCAAAGACAGATAGGCACCACAAAGTTGTTGTCACCTGGCCTCCAATGTACCCCCCACCCACACACAATAATAGTTATAAATAAAATGTAAATTTTAAAGTGAAATGCATTACCAAATAGGAGCTAAAGAACAGTTTTTTAGGTGGCTCCAACAAGGCTTGGGTCTTACAGTTTTCCCAGGTAATTTTTTACCTGTTTCCTACAGTTCTGGCCAGCCATCGTGAGCTATGGTCATGAAGAACAATGGGAGCTTTTGGTTATTGAATGCAGTGTGCCCCTCAGTCCCATAAATGTGTGTTTTCCAGGATTTCCTTTGGTTGCTGTGGGCGTTTCACCGCTGCTGAGTTACTGTCATTCTCTCTGTCTGTCATGCTCGTCCTCATCTGGGTTCTCACTGGCCACTGGCTCCTTATGGATGGTGAGTAACATGGCAGGTTGTCATTGTACCTAGTACACCTTCATAGGTCATGGCTTCAACTGTGGGAACCCATGTGAATTGCCCACAAAAAAAAAAAAAGTGAAGAGTAGAAGGTTACTGGCCATGTCATGACCAGAGGTTAGTGCAGACTCAGACACCATGACGGTGTTCTGACAGTGTGCATACATGCTGTGGTATCATGTGCCTTCACCAAACCCTTGGTCCTGAGGACACGATGCCCCTGCCTAAAACACTTTTGCTCATAATGACATCTATATATGCTATGATTGAAGTGTTTTTTGTTGCAGTACAAAGTCTTCTCTATCACAGAAACATAATGGTGTAATATATCTTTTCCTGCTGTCATTTCTCAGCATGTAAATAATGTATTAGCATAGCTTTGGGTTGGGTTGTGTTAAAATATTGCATTTTACAATTGCTGTTTGAGCCAAGCATGGTGGTACATGCTTTGTTTGTTTTTTTCCAAGACAAAGTTTTTCTCTGTAGTCCTGGCTGTCCTGGAACTCCTTCTCTAGACCAGGCAGCACATGCCTTTAATCCCAGAACTGAGGCAGGAGGATCTCTGTGAGTTCAAGGTCAACTGGTCCACAAAGCAAATTCTAGGTAGGAGTCAGGGCCACACAGTAAGACCCTCTCAAAAACTAACAAATAAAATTGCTGTTTTGAGTTGCTGACTTAATTTTCATTTAAAAAAAAATAATTGAATAAGTTCTGGCTTGGAATTAGGACATAGTTTCCAACAATTTCTAAAATGGTGTTAAGCATATTTTTAATATTTTGTATTACATATTTATGCAAAGCAGTATTCTTGGCATTGACAGTGATCAAGATAGTGATAAACGCTAGGAAATATTGAAGGCATCTTTGTAGACAGTGTCATACAGCCAAGATTTGTTTCGTAAAAATTGTCAGGCAGAGTCTGTATTAGAATGCAGATTTTTTAATGGATTTTTTTTTTAAGATTTCATTTATTTATTGTGTATACAATATTCTGCTTCCATGTATATCTGCACACCAGAAGAGGGATCTCATTACAGATGGTTATGAGCCACCATGTGGTTGCTTGGGGATCAAACTCAGGACCTCTGGAAGAGGAGTCAGTGCTCTTAACCTCTGAGCCATCATCTCTCCAGCCCCTAGAATGCAGATTTTTTGTCTCTAATGGTAAAATTATATGTAAACCATGTTTGCTTCATATACCAGTTTTATATGCCTACTGTCCGGGGTCATGTAAGATTGGTTGAGCAGAAGAAAGCTGCCAGTGAAGATGTCAGCCTGCTGTAGACTGAGTCCTCACAGACATACAGTCCTAGATTAGTCCTGCCCCAATTTTCTCAGCTATACCAGCTGCAGCCTCACCTGCCACACTTCTGGCATCTGCCAGTCTACTTTCTCAGGCTGCATCTGACTTCTTCCAGTTGGCAAAATATTTTTAAGGTTACCAGCCATAACCTCTATCACTAGTTCTCCCTTTTGAAGACTGTTCCAAGGACCTGAGTTCAGTTCTCAGCATAAACATGGCGTGGCTCACACTTACTGTAACAACAGCTTCAAAGGACCCCACCATTCTGGTTCTGCAGGCATCTCTGCACACCCATGACAAACATTCACATAAACATAAAAGTTAAAAGATTTTGTAAAAGATGGTGGTGGTGGCCACATGCCTTTAATGCCAGCACTCCAGGAGACAGGTGTAGCTCTCTCTAAGATAGAGGCTAGCCTGATCTACATAGAGAGTTCTAGAATAACCAAGGCTTGATAGAAAGACTCTGTCCCAAAAAATAGTAATTTTCTGTTATTCATAAGATATTTACTAAAGACAAAGTGCATTTTGGTGCTTGTGGGGTTAGCGATGCCATGATTTCAAGGTGTTTGCCAGAGTAAGGCTCATATATTACACTCCACTCTCCACTATTAAAACAAAACATGCACACTAATGAAATGGGGTGCTAATTTACTTTACCAGAGTACATATCCTCAGTGCTTTTCATGGTTGGTCGGTATCTTGACTTTATTAAATGCCATTTCACAGAAATACAGTACAAAATGGCAGAGGGTGTTCAGGCCAGATCAGAAACTGTTGGAGATTGTGTTGTGGTCCCAATTCAAAATTCATTTTGCTGGGGGGTTGGGGGGGGTGGTAGGGGAGGAAGGGTGGGAGAAGGGAACTGGGATTGTCATGTAAATCAATCCTGTTTCTAATTCAAATAAAAAAAGTTGAAAAAAATTCATGTTATCAGTTATTCATGAAGCTCAAGTCAGCTAGCACGTCACAGTGCAAACACTCGTGTGATGCACATTTGCACACTGAGAATGGTGAGGGAGTCCTCCTTACTGTAATTTAATCATTGCTCTGTGAGAAGGCCAGAAAGAAAACTGGGTGTGCATAAAAATGCTGGATCTAGCCGGGCGGTGGTGGCTCACACCTTTAATCCCAGCACTCGGGAGGCAGAAGCAGGCAAATCTCTGTGAGTTCGAGACCAGCCTGGTCTACAAGAGCTAGTTCCAGGACAGCCTCCAAAGCCACAGAGGAACCCTGTCTTGAAAAACCAAAAAAAAAAAATGCTGAATCTACTGTTGGCAGTTGTCAGGGTTTCAGGCAATAATCCTTGGCACCACGTGTCGTGACACATGAACAGTACCAGTGCTTCCATAATGTGGTGTGGCGGCAAACAGGTGAACACTATTGGGAGACATCCCAGTTGTCACATTTGGTTTGTTTGTTTGTTTTTCTGTTTTTTGTTTGTTTTTTACTAATTTTTGACAGCTGTGTGTTTAGAAACCACTACTGTTGACTAATTTTTTTTGCTAAACATGGTTTAAGAAACTAGCTTTAAAGGACCTTTGTGTAAATTAGGTCAGAGAAATTGTAGGAAGGCAGTAAGAAGGAGGGCTGATGGTAAATATTATGTTGTTTAAGATAAAAATGTTGCAGATAATACATTGGTGGATTGATGGAGGGAATGCAACAGAGAGGACAGTGAATTACTGGGATGGTGTGTCTGGACATAAGAGGACGAGACTCGGAATAAGTTGGCTCCCCCTTTTTTGGAGATAGGGTCTCACTCTGTAGACCAGGTTGACCTTAAACTCACAGAGATCTGCCTGCCTCTGCCCTCCTCAGTGCTGCGATTAAAGGTGTGTGCCACAGGTGGCCTGCTGCAGTACAAACAGATATCTGAAATGAGAGCTCAGGAGCACTACCGCAGACTCTGTCAGGCTGGGTAGTCAAGAACTTGTAGAAAGAGACCTATCATCCACACACCAACTGATCCCCATACTCCTCCTACCCCCAGCTCTGGCCATGGGTCTCTGTGTTGCCATGATCGCCTTTGTCCGCCTGCCAAGCCTCAAGGTATCCTGCCTGCTTCTCTCAGGGCTTCTCATCTACGATGTCTTCTGGGTGAGTGTCTGCTTCATTAGAAGTCTTCTTCCCCTTTATGTTTAATTGAAGCAATCGCTGCTAAAACCCAAAGCCTGGTGTGCGACCATCTCAGGTGAGCCCTGCTGCTCTGGTGCTGCTGGTGTTGAGCGTGCACAGGCGTTTGTCCCGTTTGTCGGTGACATCTGTGATTCTGTAGGTAGTGTGTTACTGGGGCAGCAGGCAGATGAGAATTCATGAATAGGAATACTCCATTCTATGGAGAAGGGAGTGTCTGGGTGTGGAAAGACGGCAACCTGCAGGCCAGCACAGGAAGTGAAGGTTCTCTTCCCCTTCAGACACAGTCAGAGCCAAGACCTGCAGGTTCTGAGCTGTTAGGACAACAAAGAGGGCTGCTGACTAACTCAGGTGGCTTGTCCCTTCTGTTACAGTCTTCTGTTCATCTTGACAGGTGTTTTTCTCAGCCTACATCTTTAACAGCAATGTCATGGTGAAAGTAGCCACACAGCCAGCTGACAATCCCCTAGATGTTCTGTCCAGGAAACTCCACCTAGGACCCAGTGTCGGGCGTGATGTTCCTCGCCTGTCTTTGCCTGGAAAATTGGTCTTCCCAAGGTAGGACTGGCCTATGGGTCTCCACCCTTAATGACCATAACCACCTCCTTGTGTGTCTTCGTGCCATGGGGTTTTTGTCTCTCTTCTGAAATCCTAGTAACAAAATGCCCACAAATGCACCCAAGAGAGGATGGGGGATCTCGCTCACCACCTAAGGGGATGCCGTCCATCATAGCGGTGGAGGTGTGTGTGGCTGCAGCTTCATCTCTGGGAGTGGGAGCCCGGGGCATGGCTTATTCTCTCTCCAAGGATCAGGAAACAGGTTCCCTCACTATGCCACCACCATTGCCCCAGAAGGACCCCTTCCTCCTGCTAGGCCTTACTTCCAGATGGCTTCACAGCCTTGGAAAACAGAGCCACCAGCTAGGGCCTATGGGGCATTGTGTATTCAAACTAGGATACAGGATCTATAGACTTTCTGCTTGCTCACCTCTAGATCTGTTCCCATATGACCTGGTAAGACTCGTGGAATTAAAGTTTGATAGAGTACTGAGAAGAAGGTATTTTAAACTATTGGAATATTCTGTAGATGGCTAGTTTTTGTTTGTTTGTTTGTTTTTGTTTTGTTTTGTTTTTCTTTAATCTAAATCACCTACATTTAGATCAGCGGTTCTCAACCTGTGAGTCGCTACCCCTTGGGGTTGAACAACCCTTTCACAGAGGTCACATATCAGATATCCTGTGTATCAGATATTTACATTATGATTCATAACAGCAGCAGAATTATAATTATGAAGTAGCAACAAAAGTAATTTTATGGTCACCACAGCATGAGGAACTGTATGTATTAAAGGGTTGCAGCATTAGGAAGGTTGCGAGCCACTGTGCTGGAGTCTCCCTGGTTTATTCCAGTCAAGAGTAGTATCTCTAGTGTTTTGGAGAATGAGGACCGAGCTCGGTGCTTTCAGTCCCCCCAGCAGTGACTGTCCTGTGGGAAGGAGAGGCTGCAGATCCAGTGCCTCACTAGGATGGATGTAAGCTCTCCTCACCTCACCACAGGGGCAGGACTGACTGCTTATGCTGTTTCTAAACTCAGCTTGTCTAAAGCCAAATCATCTCATCCAGCCGTCCCTAGACTGTGTGACGTGTGACTGGTCTTCAAGCCTTGACACTACCTTATTCTCAAATGTGCAACCTCTAAAGGTGGCGCCTAGTTCTCGGCCCTCTGAGATAGAGCAGCAGAGTGAAGTACGGCCGGCTCCATGGCTGTCCTGCCATACGTGAGCTGCTGCTCATTGTCACTGACTCCTTTCCTTCACAGCGCCATAAAGACATTGTTTACTGCTGTCTTCCAGTACTGTCACACAGTGGCGAGCCACTGCAGTTTCTGCTTTTTACAGTTGGTGGGAATTAACAGAATCGTGTTTTGTTTTGTTTTCTGAGACATTTGTAAAAATATGTTCTCATGGTAACAGTCTCAGTGAATCCATCTTGGCAACCACTGTGCCACTTTTGTCTCTGTCTGATGTAGAAGAGACACTGTAAGGGACTTCCTAATAGATTTGCTTAAGAGCCATTAAGTCACACAAGTAGAATTTAGCAGGAGTGTTGCCTGCAAAGTATCAGAAGTGAGTAGTTGCTAACAAAGCCTGCTAGAGATAATTTAGGATGTTGGGTGTAAACGTTTGTTCACCAGGGCTCACCAGCTAGCTGTTAGGCCCCATTCCCAAAACAACGGAAACACCTGGCTTAGAACCCCAGTCCTATAACAGACTGAGGAGCCTGCAGGACCATGACCACCACGGCCCCAGAGCTCTTAGGAAGAAAAGCATAATTGAGTTAGGTGTGCAGGATGACCCTGGGTGACAGCTATTCAGAAATCAACACTAATGTACTTAAAATGGCTCTAGCTTTGCTGTGTTAATCCTCCATTTGCCTAAGTGAACAGACTTGCAGTCTGTTCACTTAAATCTCCTGTCCATTTAAATTGTTCACAGTTAACCAGGAACTGAGAGAGATTTATGGATGCATATGTGGAATGTACAAAGCCTAAGATGTATATAAGTTAGTAACATCTTTATTCCACCGCTCCGCTTTGGACATTAGCTGCAGTCTGCCTTGTGCTTTTTTTTTTTTTTTTGTATTCTCTCAGTAAAGAGCTTTCTCCTTATTTCCTCAAGTGGGGGGGGGGGCATATTTCTGCAGCATGTTGATAGATCTCATTTGTAGTCCCAGGAGTAAATGTGCCACAAATGGTGACATTCCCATAGGAGGTCACTCAGCACTCACCCCGTGCTCCCTGGAGATTACCAAGGCCAGTGCTCAGAGGTCATTGCACTTTAAAAGCTAGTGTTTGTCTGACAGTGGTGCATATTGATAATCCCTGCATTCAGAAGGCTAAGGAAGAATGTAGGTTTGGTCCATAGCAAGACCTTATCTGAACAAGAAACAGGACCAGGCATGGTGGCACACACCTTTAATCCCAGGATTTTGGGGAGAGGCAAGTTGAACTGAGTTCAAGGTGGCCTGGTCTATATAGTGAGTTCCCGGCCAGCCAGGGCTACAGTGAGACACTGTCTCAAACCAAGAGAAACAAACAAGTAAAGACCCTTTTATTGGGGGAGGTGAGGGAAGGAAGAAGGGGAGGGAGTACTGGGGCTTAGTGTGTAAAATGAAGAAAAAAAAAGAAGAAAAGACTTCCAGCAGAAGCATGGAGATGGTAGAGCATGGTGTCCCTGACGTGTGGCTTGTATTTCAGCTCCACTGGCAGTCACTTCTCTATGTTGGGCATTGGGGACATTGTGATGCCTGGCCTCCTCTTATGCTTTGTCCTTCGCTATGACAACTACAAGAAACAAGCTAGTGGCGACTCCTGTGGTGCCCCTGGTCCGGCTAACATCTCTGGGCGCATGCAGAAGGTCTCCTACTTCCACTGCACCCTCATCGGGTACTTTGTAGGTAAGGAAGGCCAGCAAGAAAGTGGCCAGGCCCCTTGCTCCTTCCCCAGACAGACTCACGGTGAAACCAGCCAAGTCTCTGGCTGCTGACAGAAGAGCAGTAACCTTACTTATACCCAAAGGGCCCTTGAGGGTCTGTGCTGTGTGCTGTGTGCCGTGCCTGAGTCCTCAGTCCAACACACACAGCATGCTGAGAGGCTAGCCACAGATAGCCACAGAGGCTAGTCCTTTTTCTTTGTTGTTTACCTCCATTGGTTCCAGTGCATACATCCCTCCATCCAACACACAAAACAAACCAGGAAGAAACAGTTGTTACCAGACCAGAAATAGAAATAGTGCACACACGCAAGCACACACACTCACGCTTGCCCTCTCCTGCTGCTGAAGTGTAAAAGCACCTCGCCTTCACTGACTGGCACAACCCTGAGGCCCTGTCAGTCTGTAAACCCTTAGGGGTCAGGCTAGTATTACCCATCTAGCATGTAAGGAGGCTGAGAGGGGAGCGCTTAGGCGTGGTTGTGAGGCTTTGTAAAGTACCTTAAGTCGACCAGCCTGTCCGCAAAGCAGCCAGGTGGCAAAGGGTCTCTTTCCTTTCCTGGCCACTCAGCCAGTCACCAATGTCTTCTCTCCTAGGTCTGCTCACTGCAACTGTGGCATCTCGAATCCACCGAGCCGCCCAGCCTGCCCTCCTCTACTTGGTGCCATTCACCTTATTGCCACTCCTCACCATGGCCTACTTAAAGGTGAGAGCAGCAGTGGCAGGAGCCTGTAACTTGCACCCTTGGTTTTAAGTAGACTGCTTAGAGCTGTTGACAGGAAGGGCTAATGATTACATCACTACATAGTACAGGTCAGTGATTAATTGAAATCACAGTCATCCTGTTGGGACTTCTTGCTTTGATAATAGCAACACAGTAGGGCCAAGTGCACTGGTGCTCTCAAAAGGCCTGGCTTGGGAGAACTTTGAGTTCAGGACCAGCCTGGGTAACTTAGTAAGGCCTGGAGCTCAGAAAGGCCCTGGGGTCAGTGTCCCTCACCGAGTACCTCACCAGACCAGTGGCTCCCTTGTCCCTGATGGCTTTTAATACTAACTTTATTTGGGATAAATTATTTAATATTGAGGCTGGAAAGATACCTCAGTGGTTCAGAGTCCTTACTGTTCTTGGAGAGGCTTAGCTTCAGTTCCCAGCACTTGTGTGGCAGCTCAAAACCATCTGTATGTAACTGTAGTTCTTCAGGACTCTGTGGGCACCAGACACGCACGCTATACATACATGCATGCAGGCAAAATACTCAGACACATAAAAATAAATATTTACTATATTAAGGCAGTATATAACCCCTGTCCCCCATATCCCTAATTTAGAGTAATTCCTTTTTTCTTTTTTAAAGGGTTTTGTTGTTTTTGAGTCAGGGTCTCAAAATGTAGCTCTAGTTGGTCTGGAACTGCCTATGTAGACCAGGTTGGCCTACTCACAGGGATCCACCTGCCTCTGCCTTCTGACTGGATATACCACCGTACACATTTATGTGTGTGTATCCATGTCAGCCCGAGACCGACAGAGGTCTCGGGAGAGATAGAACTTCCCTCAGGGCTCAGGGTGGGTGTGTGAAGTCACCGGAGGCAAGGGTCTCCATGCTGCAGAGGCCTGGGCATCTTCAATGAATAAGGTTGTTGCCATGGTCATCACGGAAGCTTTCTCATGTGAGAAAGGACTGGTGCCTCTTGTTTGACCCTGAACTCATCCATGTCCCTTGTGTCTCCAGGGTGACTTACGAAGGATGTGGTCTGAGCCATTCCACTCCAAGTCCAGCAGCTCCCGGTTCCTGGAAGTATGATAGAGCGTGTGGCAAGTGACTAGAACATGGCCATTGCCTTCTCTCTCACCTTGGGTTTCGTTTCCTCTAAAAGCTGGCCTGGAATCAGAGGAGCTGCAGTGTGACTGGGGTTTGCGGCTGAAGGGAGAGCAGGAAGGTGCTGGAACCTGCGCGCCCTTCCCTTCCTCCCTGCACGCTGCGAGTGTGGATCCTTCCAGAAGTGACTGCCCTCCCCAGGTTTTTACAGATCTGACCAGACTGTTTTCTTTCGGGGAGCAGCAGAGCTGACTTATTAACTGCAAACAGCAAGGACTTGTTCTTGAATGTCGAACACTAAAATGATGGGGAAAAAAATAGCAAACCGAAGTTTCTTCAGTGAACCCTCCAAAACTTTGGGACCAGTTTCCTATGGGGGACTCATTTCAGAGACCTGGGACAGAAGTTCTGTCCTTTTTTTTTTTCTTTTTTTTTCTTTTTTTTTTTTTTCTCTTTTTCTTTTTCCTTCTTTTGGATTTATTAAATATTTTCTGTGGTGTGAAGTGACTTATTAAATCCACAGACATTGAATGACTTCTTACAACATACACATAGAATTTGTTGTAATGACTGTGTCCACCCATGTTGGCCGTGAGCAAGGACATGGTTTTATACATACGTACATATATAATATATATATATACAATATATATATATATATATATATATACATATCCCCGCACATAGATATCTATGAGAAACAGTGACTAATCCTGCTAAGATCATGCCGTGTAGCAGACAGGGCTTGCTGAGTTTGAGCATGTGGAGCAGTTTCCTGTGGCACCCTTGCATAAGCTGCTGTCTCCCTCAGGAGTCTCCTGCAGTTGTAAACTGTGGCCACACCGAACCAATGGACCCACGAGCTCTGGGGACTCCTCCCTCTTTTGATTCGTGTAGCAAATTAGGGATAAAAGGTTTGATCTTTTTGACACTTTTCTTTTTACAGGCTTCTTGCAGTTTTTAGGAACCGCCTCTTGAACCGTGCATGTATTATAGCAGCCAGGTGTCTTTGTGCTTTCTGATCATAGTCATGTACTACCTGTAAATACATTTTTCTATTTTATATTTTTTTGTATTTTTTTTTGACATTTCGTTTCATTGGTGCGCTGTATTTTCCATGCCCTCACTCCTTTAAAAAAAAAAAAACAAAAAGGACAAAAGCAACACAATCCTGTCCTTGCTGTTGTGATTACAGTCTTGGGGACAAATGTCAGTTGCCTCTCTAAATAGGACTAAAGTCCACCAGCTGGAGCCAGAGCAGGCTGTATCATCTTTACAGGGCCGGGCACAGCAGTGACTAGGATAGAGTCTGCTCATCTTTATCTTGGCGACTCTCAGGCTGGTAAACTGATGTGTTTAGACAGACAGCGGGGCGTGGAGTCTATTCTTCCCTGGGGTCATCTCCAGCGTGGCCTGCCTGTGTGGTGAGTTGGTGCTGTTGACCCCAGGGCTGCTGTCATTCCAGCAGAGATCACAGCTCGTGTCCATCTTGTCTACAGAGCAGGATGCCATCATGATGTTGGGTTCCTCCATCATCTTCAAATTCTGCTGAAGGGTTTGAGGGTTTGGGATTTTGTCTCTAATAAATGACACCTTTTTCTAGCTTTTGTCGTGACTTCACTTTTGGTGGTTGGTGCCAAGTTTCTGTAACTTGCACTGTGACAGAGACTGATGGAAAAACCCTGTCCCCATAGTTGTCACCTGCAACTCTGGCTCCATCACATTGTAGAGGCTCCCATTGTCTACAGAGCTCACAACTGCATGTGGCATTGGCAAAGGCTGAAATAGGCCCCTGCATTTGGTGCAGGGGTTATGGAGGAGAGGGGACACCACTGTAAGAGCCAGGAATGCCTGGCACTTGGTCCCATCTTCAGAGGTTTTGAAGACTCCCCAAAAGCCTCGGCAGATGCCATAATTTCCTTCAGTTCTGAAAGGCCATCAGATGGAAGTGGGGCTTGGGGGACACTCAATCCCCTTCCTGTGCCTGCTACACCCTTGGGCTGCTCTTCCTGGTCACTCAAAGTAGAAGATTTCAATGTGTTCTTGTGTCTGTTAGGCAGGTTCTTTGCCAGTATCAGATTTGGTTCCCAAAGTGAAGTGTGCTCTGCTCAGACTGCCATAGAGTAGGCCATCTTCCGAGTAAGATGTGCCACATAGGGACAACAGTGCTGTATGGGACACCTGGAGCTATGGGGAAACTTCCTCCACATCTGGCCAGCACAGGCCTCCATCACCCAGGCAGGCTACTGTACTCACAAGACAAAGGGGTGACAGTGTTCTAGTAGAGCATTCCTTACGGCTCACCACGTCAGCCTGTGTGAAACCCTGCGGTTTGGGAAACGCCAATTTTCAGAGCCCAGAAATAAAATGGGTTTTTAAAAATTTGTTTCGTTTTATCTGCAGGTCTTAAGGGCACTGTGTGCATGCCTGATGCCCATGGAGGCCAGAATGTTCCAGCTCCCCAGAATCTGGAGTCATAGATGGTTGTGAACTATCTTGTAGATGCCAGAAACCAAATCTGAGTCCTCCGCAAGTGCCCTTTGTTTTAAAAATGTGTATGGGTCTCCTCCCTCCCCCCGAATGTATGTATGTATGTATGTGAATACATGTGTGCCTGGTGGCCACAGAGGACATCGGGTTCCTCTGGAACTGGAACTAGGAGTGTTTGCAAGCTGCCATGTGGGTGCTGAGAATCAAACCCATGTCCTTTGCAAGAAGACATACTCTTAACTGCGGAACCTCCTCTCCAGCCTCTTGGAGGTGTTTACACAGGAGCCAGCAGTACACGCTCACTCTCCAGGGCACACTGCTCAGCCTCACCAGTGTGCCCATTTCTTCGGCACCTATGGCAGGGAGATTCTCCTTGGAACAGCGGTCCCTAACGCCTCAGCAGGAGAGGAAGGCAGTCATTTGAAACTTGGAGATAATGTCTACAGTCAAGCTGCTCCTGAGAAGGAGTGGAAACTCAGACTTGCCTGGGTTTACATTCAGTCTCCCTTTTGTTTTCATCTGCTTCCCCAGAGAACCCGCTGTCCTTCCCATCCTTATAGGACATTCAATCGTGTGTCAGTACTTACATTGACAGGCACTGGGTATTCACACAAACCAAGCTGAATATCCAGGTCCCCTCACTGTGGTGGTCAAGTCAGTAAGGGGCAGCAGGGCTTGAACACTTGAGTGGCAGCCAACCCTATGTACAAGGATGTAGTCACATGCCAGCTCCGTGTTGAGCTCAATAGAAGATCCCATGGCTTGATCACTGCCTGTTCTCTGCCTCACTGTCAATAGCAAAACATCCCGGGTCCCGTGTGGCAGAGCTAGACATGCTGGCTAAGAGAGGACTGAACAGGCTGGTGCAGAAGCCAGGGCTCGGTTAGATGTAACATAGAAATGACTACAGAAAGAAAACACTGTAGCAGCTTGCGACACCTTAACCTTTAACCACAACAGGGCTCCTAAGTCTGTCTTAGTCATTCCCCTGCCAAGAGGGTGTGACAGCCCTGTGTGTGGCACTTAAATCTGGTCACACTGGTGTGTGGTTGCTTAGGTTTTTGAGTCATACTAACTGTGGCAACCTATATAAGAACATCACAGATCAAAAGAATTACAAATTCTAGCAAGGAAGCTTGGAATGGTAGTCCATGTCTTTTTTTTTTTTTTTTTTTTTTTGGAGACAGGGTTTCTCTGTGTAGTCCTGGCTGTCCTGGAATTCGCTCTGTAGACCAGACTGGCCTTGAACTCACAGAGATCTCCCTGCCTCTGCTTCCTGTGCACTCTGGACAGAAAGGTCATGAATTTAGGCCAACCTAGGCTACAGAGCAAGACTGTCTCAAAAAAAAAAAAAAAAAAAGAGCTCTGGTTTGGCCGTTTCCCTGTTGGGTAGACCATGTGAAACTTGGTTTTCCCGAAAGAGAGGCACTGGAGGTCTCAAACCATGAGCCTCAGCTTTTCTGAGTCCCACGGAGACAGGATGGGGCTGTTGGACAGGGGTGGAAATAACACTGAGGCGCAGGCTGGGGGGGGCTGCACCTCATAAGAAGTGAAAGCAGTGGGTATCATAGGACAAAGCAGCATGGCTGCAGCCAGCATTCCAGGCCCTGGGTGCCCGCTCCTCTGCCTCACCCTGATGCCATGCCCACGTGGGAGGCAGAGTGCAGCCCAGGACCACACAGCTAGAATGTGGTGGAACCGGGCCTGCTGCCCTGAGACCCTAAGGACAGATGGTGGGAGGAACGAGGCCATCAACCTGGGGAAACTTAATGAGTGGCTAACAACAGCCACCAGGCAAAAAAAAAAGTCCTCTACTCACAGAGAAGGCTTTAACCATTCCCACATTGGGCCCCTCACAATCCCTTGTGCCTTTGAACACAATGCACACACAAAGCTTTAAAAATAAAATAAAAATAAAACTACATGTGAACAAACAGTGGTTTTTCCCAGTCATGAGGTCGCAGCCTTACACAAGCCAGGAGTCCCTAGGAAGGAAGCAGCAGGACACACATGCCCAGCCACAAGGTCCCAGCAGATCTGTGGCCAGTGTGAAGACAGCAGCTGCTGAGACCTCTGAGATCCCCATCCCACCAGACAGAAGCTTAAACACATCAATGAGAGGGGTGTCCCAAGTGACAACCAAATTAAAAAAAAAAAAAAAACACAGGCAGTGATAGGAATCTGCCATGTGTCTGAGGAAGGGCCCCCATGAGCCACCGTTAAGCACAGTTAAAACCACTGGCTGCTGGAGATGAGGCCCGAATGATAGATGCTACTTTTACAGAGGGCCAAGTTCCCAGCACCCATAGGACTGCTCACAACTGCCTAGTAATAGGACCTCGTGTGTGTGTGTGTGTGTGTCCTCTAATGGAGATTAGAGGATAATTCATTAGCCCGTTTCTGTCCTCCCCTTGCTGAGGCAGGGTCTCTGACTTTGGCTGCATACTTCAGCCTGGCTGGCCCCTGAGCCTCAGCAGTTGTCTCTGCCTGCCATGTCACTATAGGGGTACCTGGGTTAGGTGTACACTGCCGTATCTGGCTGCTCTGTGGGTTGCAGGGATTAAACTTGGGTCACCAAACTTGGACACCTAGTGTTTTTACTGCTAAAGGACATTTTTACATTTAAAGGACAGCCCTCTGCAGAATGTATACACTCTGTTCAAGTCCTCAGAACACACACTTGAACAGAAATTGGGATTGAGTACTCAAAGGCAATCTGTTCCATTGGAAGTGGCTCAGGTGTGAAGCCATAGAGGCGTCTAGATCATTGTCTTTTTTTTTATTACTTAGACATATGCATGCATGTGTCTGCACATCTACCATACTGCATGTGTGGAGCTCAGAACAGGGCTGCCTTATTTGTGAGACAGATACTCATGTGTTGCCTAGGCTGCCCTCCTGCCCTGATCCTCCTGTCTTCCACCTCCTGAGCAGCTAGGACAACAGGTTTAGGTCCTCACACCTAGCTACATTCAAGACCTTGTTTTTTACACATGGTCTCACTTTGCAGCCCTGACTAGCCAAAAACTCACTATGTAGACCAGGCTGGTGATGGGGGATGTCCTGTATGCAGTGAATATATGCTTCTCTTATTGATTGATGAATAGAACTATTTCAGCCAATGGGCAGGCAGGACGTAGCCAGGCAGGAAGTATAGGTAGGGCTACCAGACTAGGAGAATGCTGAGAAGAGGAACACAGAGAGGAGCCACCAGGGAGATGCCATGTAGCTACCAGGGAAGAGGATTGCCCAGGTGTTCTCCAGTAAATCTATGTAAGAGAGAGTTAGCCAGTAAGAAACCTGAGCCATCGGTCAAACAGTTTATAATTAATATAAGCCTCAGTGTGTTTATTTGGGAACTAAACTGCTGCAGGACCAGGTGAAACAGAAACCCCATCTACAGCCTCAAACTCAGAGATCCTCCTGCACCTGCCACCTGAGTGCTGGGATTAAAGGTGTGTGCCACCACATGCAACATTCAAGACTTTAAAGTAGCTATTATCCAAGATTCACAGGAAAATACACTCAGAATAAATGAACAAGTAGAAACTGTCTGTAAAAATATAACAACGAGGCTGGAGAGATGGCTCAGTGGTTAAGAGCACTGGCTTCTCTTCCAGAGATCCAGGTCCTGAGTTCAATTCCCAGCAAACACATGGTGGCTCACAACCATCTATAATGAGATCTTGTGCCCTCTTCTGGCCTGCAGGCATACATGCAGACAGAACACTATATACAAGAAAAAAAAAGCACTGGCTGCTCTTACGGAGGACCCAGGTTTGAGTCCCACATGGCAGCTTGTAACCCAAGGATCTTCTGCCCTCTTCTGGCCTCTGTAGGCACTGCATGCACATCATGCAGAGAGAGGTTTGTGTGCAAGCAAAACACAGAATAAATAATTCTAACTGGGCATAGTGGACCACTTTACTCCCAGCACTTGGAGGGCAGAGGCAGACAGAGCTCTGTGAATTCGAGGCCAGCCTGCTCTACATAGTAAGTTCCTGAACAGCCAGAGCTACATAGTGAGACCCTGTCTTAAAAAAACAAGTACAGTAACAAGAGAACCAAATTGGCCAGTCCTGGTGTTTGAGTGACTCCCAGGGCCCAGCAAG